CCAGTGTGTGTTGTGATTGGTTAGCTGGGCCAGTGTGTGTTGTGATTGGTTAGCTGGGCCAGTGTGTGTTGTGATTGGTTAGCTGGGCCAGTGTGTGTTGTGATTGGTTAGCTGGGCCAGTGTGTGTTGTGATTGGTTAGCTGGGCCAGTGTGTGTTGTGATTGGTTAGCTGGGCCAGTGTGTGTTGTGATTGGTTAGCTGGGCCTGTGTGTGCTGTGACTGGTTAGCTGGGCCAGTGTGAGCTGTGATTGGTTAGCTGGGCCAGTGTGTGTTGTGATTGGTTAGCTGGGCCTGTGTGTGCTGTGATTGGTTAACTGGGCCAGTGTGTGTTGTGATTGGCTCCACTCGGCGCCTGGACGGGAAATGCCAGGTCTTGTCCCATTTGTCCCTATTAAATAAACCAATAAATAAATAAAAATAAAATTAGTCGATATTTGTGATGTCACAAATCCTGGAAAATATGCGTTGTAGTCCAAACGAGTCGTTCGTTGTAGTTTTTGAAAAGTGATTTCTGTTAAATAAAATATTTCCTTTTGAAATGGACTTTGTACTTTGTAACTTTGCCGATCTTTTTTTATGCTCAAACAGCAACATTACAGACTTACTAAAGTTGAAAAAGTGAAAAAGCATAATAGGACCCCTTTAAAATAATGTCATGAATGATTCCCAATAAGACCAGAAGCATGCATAAGTAAATATGATCAATTTTGATTTAATGTTGTTCTATAAACCCTAAAACAAAGAATTATTTCAGCATTTCAGATGGTTTTAACATGGTTCTAAATTATTAATAGCAAGGTCATAACTGCCTTAGACAATCGAGGGGACACACCACTAAGGCGTTTTTCAATGCTTTATTCATAAACAAGGACCTCTAAAATCCTAAATATGTGATTACTGCCTTTCTGATAAACATTATCATATATCATTTAAAGGGACAGTTCTCCCAAAAATAAATATTTTGTCATAATTTACTCCAGGGTTATATCTACTCATAGTTAACTAAAACTAAAACCATTAATAAACATTAACTGAAATAAAAAACCATATATTACAGTAACTGTTAATATATATATATAAGATATATTTGAAAAACAATTACCAATAACTAATAAATATGATACAATTATGAAATATGGTGATAAATAAAATGAAAATATGAAGAAAAATATATATACTAAAGCAAAATTACTAAAACTTAAAAAAATACAAACTAAATAAAAATAAAAGCTTTTTGTGCTTTGGATGTTGAAGGTCCTTCTTGGCACTTTGCACCAAAAACTCAGTGTAGTACACTCAAGAACCCTCAAGAAAAATAAAATTATTCATTAAATAAGAGTTAGTTCAAGGAGTAGTTTATCAAAACCTGTATGACATTCTGTCTTCTGAGTAACACACACACACACACACAAATATATTTTGAAAAATGTTAACCAAGCTGTTTTGGTGACCATTTGACTTCCACATGGTCCAAAAATAAATTAATAAATTAATAGACAGACAGACAGACAGACAGACAGACAGATAGATAGATAGATAGATAGATAGATAGATAGATAGATAGATAGATAGATAGATAGATAGATAGATAGATAGACATAAATAAGACATCTCTCAAAATATATTTTTTATGTTCCACAGAAGAATGTAAGTCATACAGGTTTAAAACAACATGAGGTTTTCATTTTTGGTCTACTATCCCTTTAAGATGACACACTGAAGAACCTTTAAAAAGAGCTTCATGTTTCATTCATTTTGGGAGATCCCCCAACACTTCTCAGAAGAATTCATTCGTTCTAGCAAACATGTTGACCACTCTACGTAATTGTCACGTACGCAGTGGGTTTCCATCCGTTTGTACCCTTCCTCTATCCTCGTGGCCTGTGTAGTGTTAATTATTAAGGGATTTTCATACAGTCAGTGTTTCTGGTGCCCTAAACCCTCCCTTTACCCTCCGTCACACATATTCCACTCTAATCCATAGGGACTATTCATTTTTCCCTCCCTCTCTCTCTCTCAGCTCATATCTGTCTTAAGATACAGAGGAGTATATGAGTGTTACTTGATCCTGAATCTACTTTGACATCAACGGGGGCAGAAGTCCATGGCGTGCATATTAAACACTGTCTGTGCACAGCACATGTGAGAGAGCGTCTACAGGAAATACATATATTGCGTACAAACTGACCCATTCGTGCACCTTTCAAACACTTAGCTGAACCCACAGTGAGCGAGTTTCTGCATCCTGCTGTGACAGCATGACGGTCTGTCACGTCACACAACACAGACTCTGGTCATGTGGTTAAAAATGCAGCCACTGAAGCCTGTCTGTAAGGATGTGGCATGTTTAATATACGAGTCAATGTTTAAAGTTTATATGTGGGCTTGATTGAAAATGTGTGCAAAAGAAAGAAAGATGGCTCTAGTAATATTAGGGCCTTCATGCTCCTGTTATTTATTTATTTATTTATCGATTTATTTTTTTGGAGGGGGTGCCAGTGGCAGTCCTGGTTTACGTGGTGCCCTATGTGAAATACAAATAATAATAATAATATTGATTTGTTAAATAAATTATGATTTCTTGTGAAATACAAAAAACAATATGATGATGATAATAATAATAATAATTATTATTATTATTAACATAAGACAACAATACAAACTACAATAATCATTATAATTAATAATAATAATAATAATGATTTTCCTGTATTAAATAATTACAATTTCTTGTGATATACAAAAACGATAATATATTATTAATAATAACAAATAATAATAATAGTAGTAGTAGTAGTAGTAATAATTATTAATATATACTATATTGTTGTTGTTGATGTATTTCACAACAAATCATTATTTTATAAATCAAAATTATTTGCAGCTGAACTTGACAACCAGTGATCATCAGCAGCTTTGCTATTTTGATCATAATTATTTGTGTTGTACAGGAAAATAGTTGTGAGTTTTTGAGCTTTGAGTGACAGGGTAAGGGTGGGTGGATTATGACAAATTTAAAGTAAATTATCTGTACAAGGTGTGACTTGATTAAAATGACCAAAATTAGACATGGGAATGGGTGATTTCTGTCCTGGCCCTTTAGACAAGCTTATAGCTTGTATAATCCTGCAACTTAATTCTGAAATGTACAAATATTTTTTTCTGCTTATGACATTTGACAATTGTGCTGCTTAAATCAACACAGTTGACATTAGGTGCAAAAGACAGTTCATCAGTCACTAAGCCCTCAGTGGAGAGCATATCTCTCTCATACACTCACACACAGTAAGTTTGAGCTGCAGTGTAAGAGGATTTCATTCATCCATATTCACTGTATCGGACAGACTTGCGCAGTTTCTCGATCAGCGTGCACTGGGGGGCATAAGCTCTCGGTGTTAAGGCACTTTCTTGCTTGAATAAAGTCTATCCCGCTGGGCCAGGAGGAATAACTTAACACTTAGAGATCACACTATTAATTGCTCTCCCAAAATGCAGACACTATGAAAGATGCTGCTTTATCACAGGTGCAAAAAATAAACTAAACACGCTGTAATGATATTAACTACATTAAATAGTATCCCTTACAACGACAGTACATTGGTAGAGTAATGCCATCAGATATTAATACTATGAAATATTAGTACTATTGATACTGTACATACCATGGTACTAAAAGATGTCCAAAATGCATAACTTGCAAAAAAATATATAGAATGGTACTACAATGGTTTTTAGATGTGTGCTATGGTACTACCATGGTATTCTTGGATGTACTGTGGATACCATGAAATAAGCATAAATATTCCAAAGTACCAATTACTGTACCTTGGTACTGCCAAAATACTTTTTGTAAGGGATGGTGGCACAAGGCACATATTCAAAATACCATGGTAAATGTACATAAAACCATAGTGTTATGGTCCCATCCCAAAAACATGTACCATGCAGCATATCCAACAGATTATGGTAGTATATAGTACATGCCCCCCAAAAAAGGCTTGATAGAACCATGATAGGATGCCCAGAAGAATAGATTGTACCGTGGCACTTTTTGAAGAAGACAAGCCCAAATTCACTTTGAACGCTCATTCAGGACACACTTTAAACCATCTTTACCTCATTAATTTACTCTCAGCACTGTATCTTCCTCTTCACCACCCCTCTCAAGAAAATACAGAATCAATAAGAACATCAATATGAGCTCAGAATACCCATTCAATGATCTCCAGTCTCCTGAAAAAGATCTGACAGCCCTAATCGTGTTTTAGACTGACTGAGGCTGCTATTGTCTGGTGTCTGTAACCAAACAGCATATTTAGGCTATACAGAACGGTAGTTATATAAAGTGACAAACCTGATAAGTCTCATAAAGTTCTGATCAACAACCCGCCGAGCCCAACACAAAAAACGTCTTCAAATGACAGACAAAACAGCTCAAAGTTCAACATCTCATGACATGATCAGTGAGGGAAGATGAAGCGCGCTTACCGTGCGCTGTTTCACGGAGCCAGAGAGAGTGATGCGGCGCGCAGCATCCCTGCCATCCTCAGTGAGAAGACTTCTACTGTGCGCTCATCACAGCTCCTCAGCTCTCCTCCAGCGCACACAGCTGCAGGCTGAGCATCATGGCTGGTCTTGTGCTCTCAGTTCTTCTGCTGTGGAGCGCGCGTACTGCCGCCTACTCTGATTGAGTTTCGAGAGCGCAGAGCCTGCGATGCTCGCTCACTTTCTCCGGGCATATGGACCATGTGATGAGACTCATCCCTCCATCTGCGCGAGCCCGATCAGCGCCACCCAATGGGAAAATGATGCTATTCATCACTAACGCGACTGGGCCCGCCCAGTTCTGAAAGATTTTAGATTTACATTTATTACGTTCAAATGTTGGGTAGTGCGGGGCTAGTTGTCACAGGAGCGGCATCACACTAGATATGGTTTGGTGTTGAAAGTCTACCCAGCAAGCAATAGCCGTCGTTTCAACGTCTCGGTTTAGTATAGACCCGATATAGTCCGGCTATGTGTAACCCACTTCTAGCCCAAATAACCTTGAATTTGGTTTCATGTCGTTTTTTTGCCAAAATAACTTGTGAGATGTATGATATTGCAAGCAATAGCCGTCATTTCATCGTCTCGGTTTAGTATAGACCCGATATAGTCCGGCTATGTGTAACCCACTTCTAGCCCAAATAACCTTGAATTTGGTTTCATGTCGTTTTTTTGCCAAAATAACTTGTGAGATGTATGATATTCCATCATGTAAGCAAAGTAACAGCGTTTACAAGGTGTTTGGTTTCCTTTCTTTTACATGTTCAGTACGTAGCCTGTGAGTAGCCACGATTTAGCTCTGTAGTCAGAGCGGCTATCTGTAGCCCACTTAGTCAAACCTGATTCCCTCTAGATTTTGGCCAGGCAGAGCATGAGATGGTTAATATCCCATCACGTTCACAGTCTCAATAATATCTACAAAGATATAAGTGTCATTTCATAACATGGTCTATATGTAGCCATATATATGTAGTCGTTTAATAGCCGTCTAATTAAAGACTAGTCTATAAATGGGCTATGATTAGACGTCTATTAGATTTTCACTGACAGCCCAAATTTTGCCTAGTTTTAGCCTAGACGTCTAGGCTATATTTAGACGTCTAATAGACGTCGTTTAAATGCAGAATTGCTTGCTGGGTAATTACGCAAATGTGTTTTCTCTGGTTCTGTAGATTTCAAATACCTATTTCAAAACACACCATAAACCTTTAAACCTCCAAACGTACTTTAGGCCTACAGTATTATATTTTTTTCTAATATACAAACAATAAATAAGCAAACAAACATTCAGGCAAAAGTTGACTAATGAAGGTAGATTTAACCTAAAGGTCGAACTGTTCACTTGAATGTTTCATAAATGTCAAATTGTCATACGTTTCGAAGTTTGTAATTTCATAAAATTCATTATTTAAAATATCTGTTGGCTAAACCAAATATTTGATATTTTGTATCAAACCCTTCAAGTTATTCATTCACGGTTCCCATTGTGACAATTTAACCCCTACAGTCTTTACATAAGCATCATGGACTGGTCTCCTTCATACTCACATTTCAGATTTAACATTAAGGTTAATAGCCTACTTATAACATCATGTTCTAACCAATGACTCAACCAAAAGTCATATGTGCGTTTCTTAAAGGGGTCATATGATGTTGCTAAAAAGAACATTATTTTGTATATTTGGTGTAATGAAATGTGTTTATGCGGTTTAAGGTAAAAAAAACACATTATTTTCCACATACTGTACATTATTGTTTCTCCTCTATGCCCCGCCTTTCTGAAACGCATTGATTTTTACAAAGCTCATCGGTCTGAAAAGCGAGGTGTGCTGTGATTGGCCAGATATCCAGTGTGTTGTGATTGGCCGAATACCTCAAGCGTGTGACGGAAATGTTACGCCCCTACCATACTGTGATGGAGAAACCAGACAAAAACATTAAAAAACCCATTATAAACGAGGCACTTGTTGCATCCAGTGGGAACATAATTACTGATTATAATGACTTATACTGTCTTTTTACGCGTTGCGTTGCATCGCGCCACATAAACATAAAACCATGTCTGCATTTGTGATCGGAGAAATGACAAACAACAAGCGCTACTCTACACTGCTCAAAACTCGTGTTTGAATCATCAGTGGCAAATACTTTAAATATGAAAACTTACTTAAAGTCTGTGAATCAGAACTGCCGGCATTGTAGTCTACTCTACCAGGATCAGGAAACAGTCCTCCATAAAATGTGCTGCACACATCTGAATATTTGGGTTGAACTGTTCTGGAACAGTGTTGTAAATACAACTTAACCACTGATTTCTGGTCGTGTCCTCTTTTGGAAGACCAAACAAAGTAGTTTTTTCTTTCACAACGAAACACACAGCGTCACACACGGCGGCCTTGAGAATGGCGCGGCCGGCGGATTCGACGAAGGAGCGGCAAACACATGTGACGACCCCGGGCTGGACTCCGCTTCGTCCACGTTGAAAGCCGATCTGGCGATCCACAGTGCAAAGTTGTTGTATTTCCTCAGCGACCAGCACGGTTCAGCTCCAGGCATGACGAAGCAGATATCGTCCTCTTTTGGAAAACCAAACAAAGTAGTTTCGCTTTCACAACGAAACACACAGCGTCTCCACGACATGGCGGCGGCGGCAACAATACTACAGCGAGAATAAAAGTTATGCCTTATGCCTCAACATTTGGGTGGTGTTATGCAAATCTTCCCACACAGTGACGTAGGTATGTGGGGGCGTGTTAGAACGAGCCGTTTTAGGTAGGTGTGGTTGACTCTTAACTTTTATAAAGAATATCTCTTTGGATTTGAGACTTTAATCTTTGCAACTTTAGGGATCTTATCTATGCACGAACAGCTTGTAACACTCCAAAGAGAAAGGAAAATTTGAAATGGCATCATATGACCCCTTTAAATAAAACGGGTCGGGCAAATTATTGAATTACTAATTTACAGTCGCCACCTACTGGCGATGTAACCTGCAGAAAGAGGGGCTTAAAAACATTGATCCCACCTCTAATACAGGCTGACTATTCAGACAGAATTTGAGGACAAGAACTTTTGAACAAAACACTTATTGCCTATATTTTACCTTATTCTGGTTCTTGTTGTCGTTCCTCTTTACATTATTGCATATTTAACATTGAATTAAATATTATGTCTCTAATATTAAATATTATATCTCATTGTACATAACACTGTATATTTTATGGGACATTATTTTATTTATTAATAATGATCTCTCTTACTCTTACCATATGGCTTTTAGCTCTTCACTTGCGTGTCTCAGTGTCTGCTTCAGTGTTCTGTATGCCTGAAACTAAACTGCACCTCTGGGTTTAATAAAGTTGTATTGTATTGTACTGCCTCCACTGGACTATATAACCCTTTCTTGTAATGTGCACTGTAAAAATCAATAGTTTTAATCAAATAATAGCTGCCACACTTTACATAAGTGTTCATGCTTTGATGTAATTACAGCATTAATCAGTACAAGTAAGTGGGTAAGACTAATGAGCAATGTGCTTATTTTCTGAAGCAGCTTGTAACTACAAATTGTTTTTGTTGTCGTGATGTATTGATACCTAAATGGCTTTAAAAATGTATTATTTATTTTATTTTTTATCATTTTTATTTGATTTCCTCTGAATTATTTCAGATTCTCTTGCTTATTTAAAATAATAATAATATATATATATATATATTATTATTATTTTAATTTTTTTCCAGTTGTGCTGTGTAGTACATGAATGAATAAAAACGTGCCAATGTATACATTGGTTGTGCCTTTTGTGTTCATGTGAAAAGGTTTTTGAGGGGGAGAACCACAAGCAACATAACTTACCAGTTTTGGATATATTGTTTTGAATGTATTGCACCAGTGTGTAATACTATGTTGTAGTGTGTGTGTTTTTGAAAGCTTGTGTGTGATGTCTGAGGGAAAAGTTTGGTTTTTCAGCAAGAGTGAATGGTTTTGAGTGTAGAGCTTCATTTTGACCTGAAAATAGGATGTTTGGGGAATTGGGTGAGACGTTATGGATTTGTGTTTACTGTTTTGAGAAAACGAGGCATAGTTTCAAGAAATGTGTTTAAGCAATCGAGAAAAACTGTAAATGCACAGATAGTGGTGATTTATATTTGGGCAACATCCATTAAATTAGACATGGCTGTGTTTAGAGTTGGCCAAGATATAGTCAACACACTGTATCACAGGTCTTTTATGACTGTGGGTCTACACCAAAACAATCAATGAGGAACTCACTTTCTCTGAGTGCTCTCGTGTGTGTGTGTGTGTGTGTGTGTGTGTGTGTGGGCAGGTTTTATACTCCTCCGTCTTTGTTGGAGTCTGATTGTGGTCCTTATTTACGTCTGGCTCATAGCACAGGTCTCGTCTTCTAACTGGCCTGTCACAACACACTGTATCACAGGTCTTTTATGACTGTGGGTCTACACCAAAACAATCAATGAGGAACTCACTTTCTCTGAGTGCTCTCGTGTGTGTGTGTGTGTGTGTGTGTGTGTGTGTGTGGGCAGGTTTTATACTCCTCCGTCTTTGTTGGAGTCTGATTGTGGTCCTTATTTACGTCTGGCTCATAGCACAGGTCTCGTCTTCTAACTGGCCTGTCAGTCTGCATTAAGTCTTGCGGTTTGAAAAGTGTACAATACAAAGGCCTGACCCTCCTTTTAGAAGAACACACATCAACAGACTTTAACTGGAGGGAGGTGATGAGAAGTAGACCCCTAGGATCCCATCAGACACTCCTACTGATAAAGCCCAATGTGACCTTCTTTCCATTGCTGGTGTTTGTGTGGGTCATGTTTTACCTACATCATGGGGACCAGAAGAGCAAGCAAGAAGCTGTGCAGAGACAACACTGAGGTGTTTGAAAGTAAAGCTAACAAATCACTTCACAAAAGAATAGAAAAACATACTACAACAAACCAAAAATTACTCAATAAAATCTGAATAAATAAAAATGAATGAACAAACAAACAAATAAATAAATAAAGCACAAATGTCTCATCAAAAGTTGTATTTATTTATTAATATTATTAAACAATCTTTGTACATTGAAATTAAATATTTAAAAGAGTAATGTTCTTCAAAGAAAACAAAACAAAAATGAACAAATAAACTTAGAAATAAACAAAGATAACAAACAAATTAATACATAAATGAATACAGAACAAATGTCTCACCAAATTTTCCAAGCCATTGTTAAAATTAATAATCTTTGCACATTAAAATGAAATATTTACAAAGCAATAGTTTTTTAAGAAAACAAACTAAAACAAAACAAAACAAAAATTAATTAAATGAATTAATAAAACTGAAATAAATACAATATGATAACAAAGAAACAGACAAATAAATAAAATAAACATCAAATTTAGCAGAACATTGTTCATTTTATTAAATAATATATTTACCAAAGAATATTCTTCGATGAAAACATACTAAAACAAACAAGCAAACAAATAAATATTAGTGCACAGATTGTTAATATTCTTAAATAATCTTTGTACATTAAAATTGAATATTTACAAGAGAATGATGTTTTCAATAAAAACAAAAGCAATTCAAAACAAAATAAACTAATAAAACTGAAATAAAAAAAAAATGATAACAAACAAACAAAGCGCACAAATGTCTCATAAAATTTTGCAAGCCAAAATTATAAAAAAATATTTTACAAATGAAGTATTTACAGAAGAATAATGTTCTTCAAAGAAAAGTATCATTAAATACATAAAGGATATTTGTGTTGTTTAACATTTAATTATTGCAGGTTTGCGTCATATTCTGAGTTGCATTATTTTTATTCATTTTGAGGAATACTGAATCTGTGTGTTTTTTTGTGAGTGAGATGAATTAATGCATATTCATGTTTATTTTAGAACTACAGTAACATCTTCTGATTTCTCTCAACATGCGGACAGGAGAGCCGTCAGTCAATAAATTGGAAAAAAAAGTAACTTGCGTTACTTATTTGAAAAAGTAACTCAGATATTCTCTTGTAAATTAAAAAGTAATGCGTTACTTTACTAGTTACTTGAAAAAAGTAATCTGATTACGTAACTCGCGTTACTTGTAATACGTTACCCCCAACACTGTCTGCAGTTCTCTCATCTAAAAATATCACCAAAAACTATTTATAGCAGTGTGTGTGTGTGTGTGTGTGCACGTTTTTGTGACAAATGAGCACATAAACTTGTATAATGACAAAGGTATAACATAGGTATTACAAAGAGAAGGTGACTTTTCAGGACATTACCCCATGTCCCCACTTTTCAAAACGCTTATAAATCACACAGAATGGAGTGTATTGAAAATCTGAAATAGCACAAAGTCTCCTGTGAGGGGTAGGTTTAGGGGTAGGGTTGGTGTAGGGCAATAGAATATACGGTCTGTACAGTATAAAAACCATTACGCCTATGGAGAGTCCCCACTTTTCACAAAAACAAACCTGTGTGTGTGTGTGTGTGACAGAGAAGAGGGAAGCTTTTAAGAGAGGAAGCAGAGGCTACAGTGATGTAATGAGACGTGAAGTGTTCCATGGCAATACTGGCTCAACCTGTAAAAGATTCATCACTCTCCTTCCTGTTCAGAGAGGATGGAGCCGAGCAGCACGGGGGAGGAACCGCTTTTAATGGCTTTTCTGTGATGGATCAGCACAGACAGAGCCACAGCTGTCATGGATAGAAGACAAGAGTTAGCAAAGAAAAAGTGATATTATCAGCATCAACTTCATCAGTAATATATGTGTGTTATTTACATAGGTTTGGCAATGGAGGTCCTTGTTTATCATGTCAGTAATTATGGATCTGAATATGAAGGGGAAAAGAGCAGTATAGCTTTAGGCCGTTGAACATTTCAGTACACTCAATACAGTGTCTCTCTGAACAGACTGAACATTTAAAGTAGTTGAATTGATAAAAATGTTATGTTTGTCATTATGTACATTGCCCCATTGTCCTCCATTGTATGTGCATAACTGCAACAGAAAATTAGACCAGTCAAATCAGCCAAGAATACATTGTGCATTATGCTCTGCATTGACTGCATTTCCTCATTTATTTGTCTACTAACTCATTTTCATACAGTAGATTTAAATGTCAACCAAAAAACAAACTTATAAACAGTCAAATTAGTGATGAAAATATTATGCTTACAAGCGTGTTGAAAGATAACTGTGTTTGTTATTTTAGTGTGAAAAATGAAGTGACAAATAACACCAATTTACATCTCAAAAAATGAGGTTGGGTGTAGTTTTGATACGCGACCAGCAGGTGGCGCCTTGAATTTGATAATAGACTTCAATGAGGCGAACAGTAGTGCCTTCAAACTAAAAATCACAGAGTACACGCTTTAAATCCCATCTAACTGTAGATACAAACGTGTCTAAACATCAGTAAAATATCTCAGCCAAAGCTATTTATCACTTCACACACGATAACATATATATATTTTTTTAAATGAATCAAAGTTATATTTTATCCTGTAGTTACTGCAGTCATTGTTGCTGGGGAGAATGGTGTTTACCATCACTGTCAAAGAAATGAATAAACAAATAAATAATAATAAAATATGATAACGTATTCTGTAAACCCCTGCTAATATGCCTCATGCTGTTTATTTGTTAGACTGTAAAACTGACAACCATTGTGTTGACTGTCTAAACTGGTTTAATAGTCTTCACTGGTCTTAAGGGGGACCAGTCGGTTTTACTCAACTTTTTTTAGCTGAATAGCCTGGGAGACCATCTTAAACCACCTAAGACCAGCACACATTCTGAGGCTGGTTTACTGTTTTTTTTGTTTTTTTTTAATAGCATGGATGTGGGCTCTGATATGCTTTCTAAGCTTGTTTCCTGGTCTTAGGTGGTCTCTCAGCCTGGTTATGTAGGCTGGATTGAGAGGGGTTTAGGCACTTTCAGCTAAGGTAAACCAGCTAAGACCAGCGCATCATCGGAGGCTGGTTTATGTTTTTGTTTGTTTCGACAGGGATGTGGTCTCTGGATATGGTTTCTATGCGTGTTTGCTAGTCTAAGGTGGGCTTGGCTATGTAGGCTGGATTGAGAGGGGTTTAGGCACTTTCCGGTTAGGTAAACCAGCTAAGACCAGCGCATCATCGGAGGCTGGTTTATGTTTTTGTTTGTTTTTAGCGGTGGTCTGTAGAAATGGTTTCTATGCTTGTTTGCCGGTCTAAGGTGGTCTGCAGGCCTGGTTATGAAGGCTGGCTTTAGAGGGGTCTTGGGCGCTTCCAGCTTCTTAGCCTGGGATACCATCTTAAACCAGTTAAGACCAGCATAGTTTATGTTTTTGTTTGTTTCGACAGGGATGTGGTCTCTGGATATGGTTTCTATGCGTGTTTGCTAGTCTAAGGTGGGCTTGGCTATGCATGCTGGATTTAGAGGGGTCTGGGCACTTTCCAGTTGGTCAGGCAATGATATCAGTTGGCCAAGCAGCTGTGAAACCAGATTAAACCAGACAACCAGCCCTTGCTTGGTTTAAAATTCTATTTTCAGGAATGCTGTGGCTCTTGGGTAATTTTTCCGCTGTTTCTTGGGTTCGAATGGACAACACACACACACACCATGGTTTATTCACGCAGCCCGTGTCCGTGTATGTGAGAACAAGCCATTGTGATTTACATACACCCCTCTGCCTGCTCCCCCCGCCCCTCCCTCCCTCCCTCCCTCTTGCCCCGTCTACCCCCTTGTTCTTCTTTTCTTCTTCTCCCTCTTTCTTCGCACTTCATTCAGTCTCTCACTCCCGGGTCTCACACGCTCCTCCCGCGACCCTCGCAGCCCGAGATCAGCTTCACACTGCCGCGAGTGTTTCACTGAAGCGCCGCTGGAAACAATGGGACCGGAGCCGCTTTGTGTCGGACAGAGACTGACCCGCTCCTCTGTGTTTGTTTAGGACTTTCTGCTAATAGACTCATATAATAAGGATCTCATTATCAAGCAACAATGGGCTGCTGCAGCGGACGGTGCACCCTTATATTTCTGTGCACGTTTCAGTTGGTGAGTTTGTTTTCTGATAAATGTGCATTTCACACCGATAATTATGACTGCTCAACATGTATGAGAGCTGTTTAGTTTATAATACGCTGCCTTTTGCTTTGTTGTTGTTATGATGCTGTTGCACTGGATACACAGTGAGTACATTGTTTAAACATTGTGTGTGCTTGAACTCTTTTGTCTTGATCCGAGTTCTGGTTTAACATGTGTTTAAGAAGTTGGCCCCTCCATAAAATAACCCAGAGTCGTAAAAGACTTTTATGGGCAGTTTAATGCTTTTGCACTACTTCAGTCAACCCAGATGAACTTTTCTCATACTGTTAGATTTTTCACTGGGACAATACAGAATGCAGGGCTTAAAACAACTTCATATGCCAAGGAATTGATTTTGTTTAATCTGTTAAACAGGTTTTTTCTTCTTCTCACAAAATGTTTTTTTTTCTTGCCGTGTCAACACTGTCAGATTTTGACATGTAATATCAAAAGTGTAGTAAAACAATATTATACCATTAAATATTAAAATGTTAAATTGTACATAATTATTATTATTCATAAAAACTCTATTATTTAAAATTAAAAATGATTTTCAACTCCATCTGTTGACTTGACACAAACCATTAGACAAGAAAACCAGATGACAGTATTGACAATATAACCATATTTTCCACATCAAACATGAATTAAATGCAGAAGCCATTTGTTTTTTCTGGATTGTTCGTTAAATTATCTAAAACCATATCTTTACAATCTGAGTGACAGTCAACATGTCATGTTTGTGACATCAAAATATATGCACCATCCTAAAGTAGGCATGAAATGAAAATTCGCCCAATTTATTTTCTATACGCATGTTATAGATCTTATTATGAATGCTTCATTTTTTTATTTACCTCATAATTTTAATCAAAATGTCAAAACCCAATCTTCCATTGAAACGACAGACATCTCTCTGACGTATTCTGGACTTCTCCAATCATTTATTCCACTTAAACTTTCTTACAATCGACTGCAGGCTGGCATTCAGATCTGCCTCCATCCAATCATCAATCAATGGATTAAAACAAGTCCTGGTCTACATTTTTTTTGATAGTCTGTTTCACTCAAATGTACATCATAATACAGAAGAAAAGATCGGCCACTACCACAGTTTCAGATAATTAGTATTCCATAAAAAAAACCTCCAAAACGTACAGACTTTGCATCCTTGAACTCATAAAGTTGACCTTCATGATGAAGTTTCCATTAATATCTGACTGTGTTGACACAGAGGATACTGTGTTTACATGCTTTTGAACAATAGTTTAGTATGTGAAAGTGTGTAGCGAGGACTCCACAGACCCCACGGCATGCCCCTCAGCACTAAATTGATCTGTTTACACTCCAGATAGAGTTGGCAGGAGCTTTCAGTGGTTAGTCATTAGTTAGATCTACCCATGTTCCTGTCAAAGAGAGAGATGTTTCATCTCTCCGAGAAGCTATTATACTGTAATTGTCGCTTAATCTTTATTGCAGCTCGCTTTGGTTCATTGGATACTCTATCCTGGCTTAAGTGTTCGTAGAAGTTGTTTGTCAGTGAAATGCTATATTGGCTTCGAACTCTGCCATCATCATTCTGCAGTGAGTTGCTGGTGTCCTCATTTCCATGTGGAAAGTCTTGCAGCTGCTTTTTACATTGTTTCAGTCAACCTCCCCCATCCGCAATCCCAGTCTCAACAACTAAACTGATCCCACAGCAATGTAAACAGGCGTTGTACGCCTACACGGTAAACAGCTGCTGGGCACTGATTGCACGTTATTCAAATTTAACTGCCGTTGACACCGTAGCCACCTCTTTTATTTCTGGTACCTGTGGCAGTGCTTGTGTAATGCTGTCCATTCTTCCCACAATCCTCTCTGACAGGGGCATTAAAAAACGCTGACACCTGCTGCCCCCCAAAAAACAGACGTGTAATACACCTCGGCCCACATGCATGTTTGCAAGTCACACACACTCGGCTACTGTCAGACCTTCGGCCCTTGCTGAGCTTGACGGGGTCCGTCTTCCTTTCATTTTAGGCACCTCAGGGAAAACATTCCTGCGCTTTGATGTAGTTCTGCTCTCTGTCTTGCTATGAGATCTTATTATCTTGATATCACAGAGTTTCCCCAACGGGTCTGCAGTTACTGCTGTTCTCAGTGGAAAGATGTCACGGAACTCTTAGGCTAACTGGGAATATTAGTCATTTACTTGGATGGTTGGTGGATTGATGCTGTTATTTATTAGTGGTGCTTGAAGACAAACTTCTCTATTACTCTTGCTCATATATAAGGTTAGAGATTTGAAGAAAGTAATAAACTCGTAATTCATTCCTCGCTGTGGCTTGTTGAGGAGATTTGCGGTATTACTGTCAAGTGATCAGATGAATTTTGCCTGGCGGACTATAAAACGGATGAAAAATTTCATCGATTTTCACTGAAGGAAGCACACAAGTTTTATCTGGAGACCAAAATTAGGGATACGTCAGTGATATATTGGTTATTGGACAATGTTATAGCTTTTTTATTAAATCAATATTAATATAATTAGTTAATGCCAATTTTTATATTTAAGTAACGTCCATGTAATAATCTATCTTAAAGTTAACCTTTAAAAACATTGTAATTTAATTGAACACTGTTAAATGTAATCTTTAAAAAATCTCCAAATGTATATATATATATATATATATATTTTTTTTTTATGCTGTGCATTTATAATGTGATGCCTGAATTCATTTGTGGCATTTAAAATGATTGACTTTTTAGTTTTTAGTGTGTTATTTTTGCTTGGATTAGAGAAAATAGTCTAATAGTACTATAGAAAATAGTAATAATTTTTAATATCAGTTTTAACAATTTTAAAGTATTTTGTTAGTTCATGACAATCTTACTGTGAATGATTTATCCATGTATACTATTTTTTTAATACATTTTTATTATTTATTTATTTATTTATTTTTACCTTGTAATTTTTAATAAAAATGAAACACTTTTGAGTGCAACGCCCACATCTCAAAATCGAATGAACACCTTTTGAGATAGTCTCAATTCGGATAGTCACAATATGGAAGGAAAGATCTGTCGCTACTTTCTTTCCTTTTACATTTCCGTCCAGAACCAGATCCCTAACCAGAATATCATATAGACTTGAGAGTGAGTCCAATCAGCAAACTACCCCGAAAACCTTTTTGTTGAATGGCTCCTCATTTCTCAATTCCGCACACTGGAGATGATTTCATTGGTGCGATGTCATTGGTGAGAGCTGTACACACCTGTTTGTGCTGGATAAGGGAAGGAGAGGAGCATGAGAACACAGGTAGACAGACACATGGAAACGGTTTTGAACTTTACTCTTTGTAGCTCTTGAGGAACATCTGGTTTGGTTCCTCCTCCTCCATTTCTCTGTTCTAGCAGTAATAGACGAGGAGTTTGTTTAAAAGCACATGAAACTGTCAGCAACTGGTTTAAAGTCTCCCTGGTGGTGAGTTAATCTGGCTTTTTCTTACAGACATTGACTTGGAAATCCCTATGTTTGGAATGAATTTGGACGGTCATCAAGTTTATTGTAATTCTGAGACGTTCTCCTCCATGAATCATCTCTCATTACCACTTCTCTCACATGATAGGGCTGTGCAGGGATTCATGGTTAACCTGGGAGGAATTTAATCTGTATCCAGGCAAAGCCTAATAATGAGGGTTTCTTGATTAAAAATTCTTTCTTTTGTTAACAAGCAGCTTGAATTTTTATCTTTGACTTGAAGGAATAATTCACCAAAGAGGGAAACTCTTGTTCTAAACCCGTATGACTCACTTTCTTCCATTGAACACAAAAAGAGGAATTTTGAAGAACGGCCAAGCATTTTATCATCTCATTTATCGTGTGGACTACTATTATGCTGTTTTCGCCCCCCGCTTTGCTTTATTTCTTTGGAAAAAACAGCGCAAACATTTTTTGGATGACATGAGTGTGAGTAAATTCCATTTTTGTGTGAAGTAATCCTTTAAGTACGTTAGAGGTGGATGTTCAGATTATGCCTGAAAATACACGCACATACACAAAACTCTGCCTCATGCAATAAATTTCCTCTAAAGTATCTCTTTCCTTAAGAGACAAAAAACAAACTAGGACAGAAATTGCGAGACACTTTAAAGTGAGCCAGAAAAGGAGGACTAATGAGTCAGAGAAAGAGAGTTGTACTTGCGGTGTTGTTCACACTGTTAGCTAGAGAAAAAAGACACACTTAACGGTGTGTGTTTGACAAACCCTGAATAGAGAAAGTGACTGATGGACTGTGGGCAATAAATGGCAGTGGCTTTGACCTCTTTATGGCTGAGAGGCTTGTGGAGAGATACGGTAATGAGGTCAGGAGGAGGATACTCTCTGACTTCTGACCCGTAAACGCACACGCACATCAAATCTAGGCCTGAATGTTGAATAGATAACATTAGGGATGCACCGATACCACTTTTTCCAGTACTCGCCCGATACCGATACTTTTATTTTTGGTACTTGCTGATACTGAGTACCGATACCAATATTTTATTGCATTTGTAAATTGTTTAAATATTGGGGACAGAAACCAAAAGAGTATGTATAATGTTAGGTGGTTAACTTCATTTATCAAATAGATACAGTCAAACCTAAATTTATTCAGACACCTTCAACATTTCTCACATTATCACAGTTTATTTGCTATACTTAAGAAAATGGTAATAAAATATAACAAGAACTCAGAGTTAAACAGAGTCAGAACAAATTCAGCTTGATAATGTTAGATAACTTTGATAGAAAGGTGTGTAATAGATTACAATCAACCAAAAATTTGACAGCTGTTGGTATGACAGTATTTACACCACTATCAATACGTTGTCGGGCAGCCATTAGCCTCAATAACAGCCTGTAGTCTCCTGGACATGCTGTCACCCAGCTTCATGCAAACCTGAACTTCAGTTTATTCCCAGACTCGGTCTGAATCATTTTTGGT